AATTTTGTATATCGTGAGCTTCCATTTCCACATAGGCCAGTACAGAAGAAAGTGCAGTGATCCTTGCCAATTTGACAACTGAAGAAAAATCATTTCTGGCCCCAAACTGGTTAATTTGTGTGACCATAAGTATTTAAAAATGAGACATTGAGAACCCATGCAGTATCAACAACAGCAGGCTGCTCAGCATCCCACTACCAGCGTCAACCAGTCCTTGAAATACCAAAGGAAGGTAAAAAATAAAATACAACAGAAGACAACTCAGAAGTCCCAACTTCCAAAGGCTAAATTAAAAATCAAAATTAGCCTCACCATGTAGCATCCTGCACTGTATTTCTTTTTCGCTGCATGTAATGAAAGCTAGAACAACCTTCTATTTCCAACAACTAATCAAGCATCCAATGACTTTTAAAAAGGCATTTAATTTATCATCCTTAAGAAACCATCTGCATTTTATGATTTCTTCCAATGCATATATTTTCTTGTGAAAAGAAATAACATTTCCTGAATAGACATCATAACTGAAGTACCACTCGTAAAATAATTCCAAATGTGTATCATTTGTTTCATTTGTAAAACTGATAAATATTTACTAATGAAAGGGTGTAGCAGCTAAGGTCAACTTGAAAATTCTGAAGACATAAGATTCCGGAAGTCGCTTTAGTCAGACTCATCACAATATAACTTTAGCATGACATATGCCTTGCTGTTAAATCGAAGTTGAAACAGGTCAAGGACTTAGATGGGATGATATCAGACTCAGAAACAGATTTCTATCTCAGCACAGTCTAATGATGAAACCTTCCATTAGTGATCTTCTTCTCTATCTTCAATAAATACTGGTCCAATGCAGTCACCTTACATCCCAAGAAGACTTCAGCAATGCCTTTATTACACAGAAGGGAACAATTAGTAACAAAAGCATTTTCTTCATCTTCCTTGTTTCTGCTCCAGGCTATTTACAACCCAGAATGAGAATCACTTTTTGGTACTGAGTGAATGCAAAGCAAGTACTCCAGGAGCCACAGGAAAGCCTAACTCAGAAGTGATTCCCCTCAAACAGCACATTTTGACACTGAAAGCTCTGATAGCTGAGGTGGAAGAAATATGCATAAAGTGGATTAAAACAAATCTGCAGTAATTTTTGATTATGAAATGTTCCTGCAGCATGCGATGGCTTTGTTGTATACATGCAAATGCCAATCATCTTTGTTCAAAAGGAGAAGTGTACCTTCCACAGAAATCAAGCAACTTGCAAATCGTCGATGTTCTCAATGATGTCCAGTCAGTGCCAAAAGGACTACATCCCTAGTTGCACTGGTTGTATCAAGCAGAGATAGATTCACTGCACCCATCTGCACCTACTCTGCAGGCCCCAGGCCAAGGAAGCTCTAGTACTTTTGACAAATGGGCTGACAAAATGCATTTAATGATGGAAAAAAACCAAAAGGGACCACAGCCATGTAACTTCATGCTACCATCTTTGCATGGTGGTTGTTCAACTTCAGTATGATTAAATTCTAATTAAAAAATATATTGTATGCAAATGTATATGCTTACATACACACATACATGTAAGCATAATCACTTCAGTTTCAGCGTGAATGGAGATGCTGAATGTTCCTACTTATCTCGAAAGCAATGGTTTCTTGTAGATGTTAAGAGGTACTGCTGGCACTTCTGCTTTTCAATGTGGCACTTGAAAATGAGACTAGAGACCAGCAAAATACCTAAGGCTATAGCACTTGTGCTGAAGTTCTTCAATTCAAATATGTGCCACAAACATTATCTAGTTTCTCAATTTTATCCTGAATGTAGGTGTCTTCTTCTTTACCCTGTGTTCTTTTTTTTTTTTTTTTTCCCCTCTCATCTCCCTTGACCTTTCTGCTTAAGCACCAAGGAAAAAATAATTTCGTAAAGGAAAATGGAAATATTTCTATTTATTTATTTATTTATGAAAGTGTTATTGGTCTGAAGATTTGAAATAACCTCCATAGTTTTGATATAGAAAATTTCATCTTTGAGAAACCTAGCTTTTTAGTAAAAATCCAAGCTGTACAATAAACGTCAGAAAAAAAAAACCCAGAAGTTAACATAATACATAATACACTAATTAAAATATTCTGAACAAACCACAAAAAATCCATGCCAAGTTAATATAGATGTTGTTATAGATCACTGCTTTAGCAAACTTACTAAACCTTTTACAATATCCCCAGAAATGGTCTAGCATTCAGAAGATAGCAGTCCATAGCTATTCTGAAAGTGCCATAAAAAGCTTTTTAATGATTTTATTCAGACTAGTAAAGAATATGGTGTTGATATAGTAGAGTGCGTTTTTTATTAATGAACAAACACAACAATTCACCATATTCCCTTCAATATAGTATAAATACGTCTGTTTTGCTATTTGAACTAGTTAAATCTAGGTATTGATGAGTTTTAGAGAAAATAAAACCTGATGTGCTTCAGATACTGGAGACAGAAAGTTATTACTCAAGCCAGACTTCAGAAAAATCTTAAAACGAACACACAAAAATAGCATAAACAAATGCATTAAACCCAAAATTAAAGCCAAATCACCCACTCTCACAAAAGTTTTGTGGAAAATCCCTTTGACTTAGATCATTAAAAGTCACTTGAGCTACCTTAAATTTTCATCACTGCTAATGGTGAGAAAGCAAATTAAAAGAAATAGTAAAAACCAGAAGGTCTCAACAGGCTGTTCATTCATGCATGTATTCTACTCTTCTGTCCTGCTACCCACTTTATTCAGGACAAAATCAAGTATTCCCTTCTGCCTAGTATTAAGATTTTCAAGTAGTTTAGCTGGAATGGGTACCAAGAGGTGGGTACTTAGATGGATGAGCAATGGAAGAGGTGCCAGCCAATACTCCTACAAGTTAAACCAAAGCAGTTAGCCCCCTTTAAAAAGGAACGTTTGCTTAAGATTGTACATTCTTCTAAAGCATTTTGTTTTGCAAGAAGGTATGCATAGTACAGGTTCACTTTAGATAGCTGTCTTCACTCAAGACACAACAAAGCAGAACAACTGTACTGGCTGGAGATCAGTCAAACTCCTGTTGAAGTCCATGAAAACTCTGCTGTTGATTTCCACATGGACAAGTATCTAAGAAACCATCCTTCACAAAAATCTTGCTCTATGAGGAAGAAACTAGAAATCTTCAGACAAATCAAGACAAGAAACTGCCTCAAACACAAGCAGCATTAAAAGTACATGGTCAGTGTCTTTCCAGACTCAGATCTCTTAAATCATGATGAGCTTTATGCCTTATTATAGGAAACTAAAAAAATGCATTGGAGAAAGGAGTTTCAAACATTATTCATACAATTCATACACATTAACTGTGCATATACTCGAGTATGAAATATATTTTGTTAACCTTGCACACTTTTAAAGTGGAAGCAAGCCTCAGTGCTAGGCTCAAGCACAGCAGGGCATCCTGGAGTCAACATGGCACACAGAACGTCTTGAAGACAATGATCCAGTGCAAGGTTATAGCTCAAACTGTTGAGGGTTCAAAGGTGCTCAAACAGTCAGAGCTGAAGAAAAGGGGTTAAAATTAGAAGACTCCCTAGCAAGCTAGAAAGCCTGCAGTAGCCCCTCATCCCAGTCTACTTGCACTTGCCCTAGGGAAATGAAATCACGCAGCAAACATGCCATACAAGTTATCTTCCTGGAGAAGGCTACTGCAAACGGATATTTAGCAGGTTTGCACAGGCTTCCCAAAGTTCCTGTGACCAGGGAATGTCAAACTCACAAAGCACAGGAGAGATGAAGATGGCAGGATGTGAGCTATAGTTATCTCTGTACACGTAGCCACAGGCTGACTGCTGTGTGAACATGCTCTAAGCAGTAACTGGAAAGGTCTGTCCCCCACTTGGCATGGCTCAGTACACCTATCTGTATTACAATATCCTTAGCCTGAAGGGAAGCAGTAGCCCTCAGTACTTAGAGAAGGATAGAATACTTCATGTTTGACCTCCTAAGGTCATCTATTTCAACCTCCAGTTCACTGCAGAGGTAACTGTAAAGCTATATCAGACTGTTCAGGACCAAGTCAATTCTGAACATCTCAAAGTATGGACATTTGACAACCTTCTCTGGGCACTTGTTCCAGGATTTGATTACGCTCATACTGAAAAAACCAAACTTATTCATACCTAGTCAGAACTTCCCTTGCTGCGAGTTGTGACCAGTGTTTCTTCTCCTTTCATCCCGCACTTTAAGAAACAGAAAGTGTACTACAATTCCACAATCATGTGCTTTTCCATGGGGAAATGGGAATTTCTCTAAGATCTACAGTGCTAGGTTATATCACATTAAGAACAAAATAAGAAAAAACAAACAAACAAAAAAACAGAGAACCAAACAATAACAGCACTGGAACACATAATGCTGTTTTCCAGTACAGTGTGTCAAAGTACAGACAAAATAACTGCTGTGAAAAACCAAGGTTTGAAAAGTTTGCTGTATGAAAAGAAATATCCACTTAGTGGAAGTGCATTTCCTATCACAAAGGGTGTTCTCTAAACTATTTCTTGATTTCTCTGTAAATCTCTATTACTAAATTGCTTTGCTGTACGAGGTCAAGTTGCACGGTCCTCGTGTGCAGCAGCAACTCTTACAGCCTCAAGCCTGAATAGAATGTAGCTCAACTACATCCTACTATTATTTTCCTATTGCATCTTTCTACGTGTCAGGCAGACAGCAATAACTTGATATAATCACGTCCCACATGTGTGTTTGGGGAGAACAGTCTGGATACTTTAATCTTTCCAAAGAAGTTCAGAATGATCAAATACACAACACCCGAATAAACCAGTTATCCTGAAGACTCCAATCTTCATATTGATGAATGTGGATTATAAATCTAGAAAGGAAAATTAAGCTACAGCCACAGGAAAATACAATCATATTTGGTTCCCAAGTAAAAATCTGTAATTCAGACTTCATTATTAAAGTTATGTTAACTGACCTGTGAGTTTTTCCAGAACATCAAATCCATGTTTCAAAGCAATGATATCAAGAAAAGAGACTGTGCCGTCTTCAAACCTGAAGAATGGAACAAAGCAGCACAGTAAACAAATCATGCAGGTATCATACAAACTTCATATCTATTTTGAGAGTTACTATTTTGTATCCAATGAATCTAACTTGTAGAATGGGAACTCCTCCCTCAGGGACTCATCTTCAAGTGCCAGTCTTGTTCAGTCAAAATGTATTATTAAAACTAGAAGCTCATTTGATTGCTTGTACATAACAGCTCTATTTTCTCCTATATTGGCTACTTGAATATTTTGGATTTTCAAAGTAATAAGTAATGTTTACATTTTATGCCCTAATATCATAAGGTTCTAAGTTGTCTCCTTCTACTCTTAGAAATTGATGGGAATAGGTGAAGCAACAGGTGGACATTTTGTATTTGCTCTACTCTAGGTGATTACATTTAGTAGTTGAATTGAAAGACAAGAAGAGACTTTCCATATTTGGAGGAAGGAGGAAGATTAGTAACAAATTTCCATCCATGCAGTGCTACTGGAAAGGAAAAATAACAGACCTATAGCAGAAGCACTATAAAAGGATGGGGCAGGACATGCATACACAACCGACAGCGTAAGCATGAAACAGAGACAATGCTTGATGTGATGAACTTCTGCAGCCATTCCAGCAACTAGGAAGATGCAGCTCCCAGGTAGGGGTTATGTTCATGAAAGAGAGCCCAAGAGACTTTTGAATGGGCAGAAGGGAAGGGAAGTCATACCAGGCATCAAAACATGTGTACAGCCTACCAAGAGTTTTAAGGAGTGACCATTCAGCTTGTTTCACAAGCAGAATAATGCTGACAACTGAAGGTTAAATATACAGAACTCGCTACTGCTTAAGACTGAAATTGAGATCATGTCTCATGGTTCAAGTTTAAAGCAAAACTTTCACCTTGAGGACAAAGCCTTCCCAGGATCATGGTGTTCCTTGAAAGAGCTGATGATGTCCAAACTGAACACAGCCAAATATCACCAAGTACATTAGAGGAACTTTGGGGTAAAAAAATATTTTACATGTACACATGATACACAAGAAAAAAAGACTATTTTTTTCCTGGATGTATCACTTTCCTTAATACAGATAGAAAGCTTTTGGTGCCATAATTATATACGTATTGTGAAAAGGCTCAGAGACGCAAAACATCAAGACTTCAAATACATTTTCTTTAATAAAATAAATCTTAACAGAATAGCATAATAGCTCTCACTTCAACAGATATTTTTCATGCTTATCTACTAATGGAAACAAGACAATTTAGACAGGACAGTGAGCTGAAGAACATACAAAGCTTCTAAAAATATTTGATAAAGTTCTATATAAGTGCAATACCTGACTACTGTGCAGGACTAGTTGGTGACTGGATTCAATTCTATAAGGTCGCATGTTCAGTTATGACAAATAACAGAAGCAGTAAATAATTACAAATGAAACGATAAGCGGGAAGTGGCGCAAGGAAGAATAGTCCAAAAGGAATCATTTGTGCTCACACTTTCCAAAACAACACAGGCCAAAGAATCCTTCTTAGAAATTTCTGGATCTTGTCTAATAATACTGAATAGCAAAATATTATGTTCCTTAACCTCACTGGTTTTCAGTTACAAGGTGTGGATCAGTATCAGAGGGAAGCAATACTTCCAGAAAGCCAGAAAAGAATGATGAGAGAAAAGAGAAGAAAGCAGATGCTAGGAGATGTTTCAAAATTAAATACAGAAAAACAGTAACAAAATTTCATGTTCAGAGGGAAATACTACTCTGGTCCCACACAGTTGCTATGCAGAGATTATAGAAAGACTACTTAAGAGGGAGGTGATTGGCCCTGATCAAATATTGGCAATGACTAGTTAAGCAATTAAAGCACTGGGATTTGAAGACCAGAGTAGAGACGCTGCCACTGAGCCCATCAAGAAGGGCATAACTGTCTGCAACAGTCATCAGAAAAGTACTTGAAAAGGCTACAAAGATGTCAGCAGAGATCTTCAAAGGCCCCCAAATCATATGTGATTGTTAACCCAGGAGACAACTGTAGTTCATGCATCACTAAGCAACAGAAGATGCCTGAACCATGATAATGTTTTATGATCTTAAAGATTTTCACTAAATTTGTCCAGAGATTAGGAATTTCCTTCTGTTCAGAAAAAAAAGCAAGCACAATCATGTTTTTTTCATCAAACATTATGCTCCAGAACAGTGCAATCATTATGGTAGTAGATGCAAAAAAAGTGACGGCTAGAAGCTCCATTACAAGAACCAGAAGCCATAAAATAAAAATAATTACCAAATCATAGAATGGTTTAGGTTGGAAGGGACCTTAAAGATCGCCCTGCCATGGGCACAGTTACCACCCACCAGCTTAGGCTGCTCAGGGCCCAATCCAACCTGACCTTGGATATCTTTAGGGATGGGGGCATCCACAGCTTCTCCAGCACCTCACTGCTCTCTGCATAAAAAAATTTTTCCTAACATCTGAACTAAATCTCTCCTCTTTCAGTTTAAAGCCATTTCTCCTTGTTCTATCACTATTAGATCATCTAAAATGTCATTCCCCCTTCTGCTTTTCATAAGCTCCCCTCAAGTACTAGAAGGATGTAATGAGGTCTCCCAGAGCCTTCCCCAAGCTAAACAAGCCCAACTCCCTCAACCTTTCCTCACAGAAGAGATGCTTCAGCACTTTGATTGTCTTCATGGCCCTCCTCTGGACTCACTCTAGTAACCCTGCATCTAAATCATGCTGGGGGCTAAAATAAAATGCCAAAAATACTTCCTCAAAGATATGGGCAAGTCTTCCTTCAGAGTTCAGATACAGATACAATATTTTGCAATGTTCATTCCTGTATTTGGATGCCTACTCGATTTCTACTGGCTTTTCTGACAAAGAAAGCACTAGTATTCTGTCATTTCTACAATGTGTGTATTTACACAATTGCCATTACACTTGATTCTCGTGTATAATATCCAGATATACTGAACATCCTATGCACAACTTCATGTAATGCTGTCATCCCCTCCATACTTCCAGCTATTTAATTGATCATTTTGCTTTATCCCCTTGAGAAGTTTACACAAATTATCACAGAATCACAGAATGGCCAGGGTTGGAAGGGACCTCAAGGATCATGAATCTCCAACCCCCCTGCCACATGCAGGGCCAATTATCTATAAATTCTGGTATTCAGTAAGTGAAGTCCTAAAAACTATAGAAATGTAATCATTACCAAAGCAAACCATGATGCTATGAAGCTGTATCTTGGGATACAGAGAGCTCTTTCCCAGAATATTCAACTCTATTTAGGACCAAAGATAAACATGTTCTTTTACATTGCAAAACATTGATTTGAATGGTTGCTTTTCTTTCTGATGTAATTGATGCTTCAAACTAATTGTTTTCACACTCAATGGCAGTTCCAGTGTTAGAACAATCAGTTTAGGATGAAGCTCATTTTAATGCTGGTCCAGCAGCCATTTCCCAAAGTAATGAAGTCTCTACAGCTGACAATATATAAAGGATACTTACATAGGATAATAGCGCGGAGCAGCAACCCAGGAAACATCAAGCTTACCTCTCTCAGCTAGTTCTTATTATAATTAATCCCACTTAATCACAGCTGGGATGAGCTCAATTGCTTAGCTAATTGTGTTTGTGAAAACCTGATAGCATTTCACATCAACCTGCTATTTGGCAAACTCCTTAAACAGCTCACGGCATAACACAGACACAGAGCAGCCTGTCTAAATCTTATCAGGGAGTTATGAAGTTGATGAGCTGTTCTTCCTTTGCAGGACACACAAGACCTGTGCTTCTAAGAGTGTGGATTCTTCCTTTGAGCCATGAGAGAAAACTGCTTACAGGTCCCACTGTCATGATTTCCTCAGGACTGGAAAAGGCTAGTTTTTATTTGAATACTGTTGAGTGCTTGTCATGACAATTTGCATACAAATGTAGTTTTCTAAACTTCAGGGCAACAGAATCAGTGAAAGAAACAGTGATTTTCCTGGACAGTTTGAACTCATTCTCTCTTACGCAGGTCACTTTTGCATATAAATATTCTAACACATCATGCCCTGGACAGATAGGATTAGAAATAAAGTGTACGAAGACAAACGAAAGTATTCCTATTTAAAGAGAGAGGCAAAATTTGGTGCAAGACAGAAATATAACCCCAAAGATGGACAGCAGTGGCTTAAGTAAAGGGTCTAAAAGGGTTCAAGACTAATTGGCTGTTGCTAAGGTTGTGAAATATCCTAAATAACATGTTATTCTGTATATGGACAGTATACACAGCACAGCTTTTAGGTAGGAGTACCGGCTTCTGCTTTCTGGGAAGGCTGACTTGACCAGCAGGCAGATGAGACATTCAGGGCTGTTTTTTTTTCTCTCTCCATTTACCCAAAGTAAATCCAGACACAGAAACACTGCACATCAATTTCTCTGGCCAGAGTACAGCCCAGAGCTTTGAAACTTTGATAAAAATTCCTCCACAAGGTCAAAAATAATTCAGCTCATCTGAGAGTATTGCTGAGTCAATACAAAGCCCAGAGTGCAGAGGGAACACTGCTGTCAGTCAAGCTCCACTCTTCCTTACACCAGGGCAATGACTCAATCTAGGTCAGATGAGCAAAAGTCATGCCTTAGTTTCTGAGGCAGGTAAAAGTGAAGGCAAATTCATAGGAAGAAAAAGCGCATTTCTTGAATAAGCTGCTTTTCCTTTCTTTCCTTTCCTTTCTATTTTTTTTTAAATACTCCTAAGAGTGGAACTGTCCTTTGAAGTGAGATGTTACAAGTTCCTTTCATCTTTTCAATTCATTTATTTTCATCTAATTAAAAAGTACAACAATACTGAGAGGTTTTTGGCATGCATTTAGAAGTAGTTCATTCAGATCCTGTTTCTCACCTCTGAGAGATATTCCATATCACCTCCACATGAAACAACCATCTCGAAAAATTTCATTTTTACACTTTATAGAAATACACCTGTTTGTTCTAAATTGACTTCTGCTGGAATTACAATAGC